TGCCTTCCCCAAACACCTCCACCATTGCAAATGCAGCCTGCGGTCTGGGTGGGAAATGCCTGAAACGCAATAAAGCCCACCCACCAACTCACCTCCTGCTTGTAGGCTGGGGTGAGAGAAGAGGCAGAGAAGCCAGAGAGGAGCCGATCGAACCTTTGATTGCAGGCGGAGCCACGTTGCCTTTTCAAACTTGTAATCAGTGAAGCTGGGCTTATATAGTTTTATCCAGCTGTGTGTGTGTGTGTGTGTGTGTTTGTGTGTGTGTGTGTGTGTGTGTGTTTGAAAAGGCAACGTGTCTCTGCCTGCAATCAAACTACATGTGCCTCACCTACGTCAGGAATTTTTAGGCTTTTAACCCTTACTTAACTCTGCTCAAATGATCATAAAACGCCGAAAGTCAGACTAGATGAGGCACGTCGTTCTCCTGCCTCCTCCTGTAGAGGGCACTTTTTTAGAGGCTTTTTTAAACAGTTAAGCAGAATCATCCATGGTGACTCTGGCAGCAACTAGCTCAGCCTGCTCAGCTCTTGCCTTTTTCCTTTTACATTTTTTTTCTTTTCATGACGACAGTGGTGAGGCTCTGCCTCCCCTGCCTCCCCTGACTGCACATCCCTGCTGGATACACATCACAGGAGATGATAGACATCCCTTCAAATTACAGGTCCTGTGCCACACAGTGCTTTATAGATCAAAGCCACCATCTTGAATTGCAACCAGAAACATAGCTAATGATGTAGGCTGGTCACTGCCCATGTTCTGTACTTCGGAGGATAGCTCTACATAAAGCGCATTGCGACAAACAAGTTATGAAGTGACTAGAGTATGACTGATGGTCTGGAGTATCTCCTGATCCAGAAAAGTATGCAACTGGTGCACCGGAGGAAGCTATGCAAAGGCTTTTGACTGATCAGTTAAATTGGTGAAGAATTGCTTGTGTTTCATATTTATCTCAAATGTCCCAATATATCTCTAATGTCCTTGGAGACAAATAGTGACCAGAGAGTTGCATGCCTTCCACAGACCCTGGAAATCTATGGGAAAGTATATTTAATTATATATTTTTTATTCTCCCAGAGCTCCATCAATTTCTGCTTTGTGATATATAACTATTACCTGAGTGTGTCGGATGTGATAGTTGTGAATACTTGCATACTTCTTTCCCACAAAAATGAGAAGGAAGTAGCTTACTATTGCCAGAGATAAAGCATGTAATATAATTTTGTCCAGTTTTGAGAAGACAGGTAGTGTAGGATGCAGAAACCTGAAACAAAAGAGATGCTTCAGTCCTGTGTAAAGAACATCCTTGAATACTTTGATTAGAATATATAAGCTATAGCTCTATTTATTTACCACCATCTCTTTCAACCCATAATTTTGTACACCAAGCAAGTGGTGCTAAATAAATATGTGCTTGTTGCTTGGATTTCAAACATTGAATTTCATGTACTTATTGTTAAAAACTTAAAATTAGGACAAATAATGTTTTCCCAGCAGACTATAGAAGGCTTGGGCAACACTAAATTTGATCCCCAAAGTGTGCTTTAGATATTGAAGACAACACTCTGTTCTCAATAAAGCAGTTGACTCTTTTCCAGAGGTCACACAACTGCCATTCACAGCTACCATGTGAAGGAGAGAGGCATTTTAAGGAGTTACACAGACATCCCCATGTCAGGGGTGGGTTGCTGTCAGCATTGCTGCCGGTTCGTAGCACACATGTGCGTGGTTGAGGGTAAATTATTCTGCGCATGCGCAGAACATTAAAAAATGATTAAAAACAAGGCCATCAACAGCCGTGACAACCGGGGAACAGGTTTGGGGGCGTGTCAAGCCTGCCGTCCCTGCCAGTTCGGCAAGCAAGTGCCAATTTCCACTACCGGTTCACCCGAACCAGTGCGAACTAGTAGCAACCCACCTCTGCTCCATGTCCTCCAAAGCAACATTCAAAGATCACTTTGGACATTCCTTCCCCTGATTTCTTATTTCTACTTTTCTTTGTATTTTACATATGAAATAAAATAATAATTAAAAAGAAAATTTGACATTCTGCACAGTACTAAAGAGTCAATTTAGAGTTGCTGGAACTGTGATATGAATGGCAAATAAATCTGATAAGTAAAATAAAATAACACATTATTATTTTTAGCTCATTTTAAGGTTTACAGTAATGATAGCTCTTTAAGAATACTGATGGTCCTCATATGATACTGATGACTAGAACACTGTTCTGATGACACTTTACACTGTTCAGTAAATGTTAAATCCTGGCCCTATCAGGTACAGTACCTCCAAAGCAAAATTCCAGTATATAGAATATTTCAACGCTGTTGGCTTGACTAAATGGTGTTGGTATGCACATGGACACAAATAGAGATGGTAGCATATATTTGACTGACAAAGTTAGCAATGTTGAAATATTTATGAGAATAAGCTTTCAGTTCATGCGTTGGCAAATGTTTCACGGGAATTTCAAGCTGGGGTATTATTTACTAAGTTCTTTACCCAATTCTTCAATTTCATTATTATTTCATTTCCTTTTTCTTATTTCATTATTTATTTTTTTAAAATTTATTATTTGTTCTTCCTTTTCTCCCCCATGCATATCTTACCCTGAAAGAGAATAGCATGAAAAGTACATATTTATACATGTATGAAAAATACATAGTATTAGATTTAGATTACATACTTGTGGGGAGTCATTGTAAAAACTCCCTGACTAGATTCGGAATGTAGATGGGTTTGGGTAGAAAGCATTGTAAAAACAATAATCTGTAAAAGAAAAACAATGCACTCTATATTATTTGAGATGAATATTACTTATTTAAATTTATTTCAATATTAAATTTGTACACCTTCAAATTCAGCCTTGATTAATGGCAGTTACAATGTCAATATCTATCTTAGCATTATGGACTAATAACTGTCCCATATTAGCCAGACATTGAAATAGACTGTAATAATATTCAGTGGTATAATGCCAAACAAGGCAGACTTTTGATTAGTTACCACAAACAGTAGGATACAATCACCAGTGCAAAGATTAGTATTAGGGGAGGGGGAAGTTTCATAGTCAGAAAAGTATTTTCCCCAACAGCAAGTTTCACTGATACTGAAACTTAAGGCAGAATGTTTAATGTTTAAATCTCCATTTCCCAAGAATGCATTCCCAAGGACAATAATAGACCATAACACTATTAGATAAAATTGGGTTTTATCAGAATAATAGACAAAATGTTTTTACTGTCTCTGCAGTGAAGGCAAAGAAGGGATGGTGTACTATCCCCTGAATCTGAAGTATGCAGTAAAACTGTTTTATCAGAGGACCTGAAATAAATTATAATAAGGGACAATGCTTCTTTCAGATGCAATATTTCCTTATTTTTCTTGGTGGAGAACTTAAGGCCAATATAATATAACCAAAATAAAAGAGTAGCAAAATCCTTAAAATTCAGTTCTGTACTAAAGAAACACATTGTTTGAAGGAAACTGTTTCATGCATCAATCTATGACCCAATTCAAGTCCTTTGCATAACTGTGACTTTGGGAACATAAATGTAATTTTGTTGAAAAAATGTCAGATATTTACCAAAACAAGCTCCATTGGAAACTCAATAGGATAGTGTTTATAAGTTATTTTAATGCACTTGCTGACCCTCAGCAATAGTAAAGAAAGCAAAAACAGCAGGATACTAGTAGAATTTGCTTTAGGGAGGCCCATGCAGTAGTATACCAAATTCTGAAAAAAAGAAAATGTCAGCAAAATGTTCAGAACTAATTCTTGCACGTTAATTTGCTGCTAATAATATCATTGTAAAAATCAACAGTCTTTTAAAGGACATCGTTTTTTTCTTCAAAAATAAATATAGCTGCCTATCTCACACACATGACTCTAGGAGGCTTATAACTAAAGCATACACAGTACAAATAAATAAATAACAACAACAATAATGATGATAATACAAACAAGATAAATGTATTAAAAACAATTAAGAACCAAAAACCCTTTCATGGGTTTCCACGCCACTCTTTAAACTCTGGGCCAGATAGCAAAACTAGGGATTCAAACCCTTCTATAAGGTTCCTCTAGAGGCCAGCCTGTCTTGGGGATAATTATAGTATTTTCTATAGTGCAGCAGAGAAGGCCCTCATCCTGGGTCCTACCAGATGACACTACCCTATGGATACACACTATCCACAACTGTTTTCTTCTGCTGAGCCTGATGGGGCAAGTAAATGCCACTCGGAAGGGGTGGTCCCTCAGATAACCTGATCCTGGTAATGAAGACCTTTGTGCTATACTTCTTTGATATTATTCAGAAGTTAAGTCCCACCTTGTTTAAAGGGGGTTGGTTTATCCTCACTGTTTTAAGAAAGACAACGGCATATCATAAAGAAAATAATAATGCCTAAAAACAGGGAACTTAAGACTTAAGCCCCTGGTGAGAATTACGATTCCTCGTATGTGCGTAGTAACTTGTAACCACTCGTTATATCTTTACAAATGAAGGAATTTGATAAAACTTTTAACTAGTATCTTTTACTCTTCGTGGGAACTACATTAATATTGACTTTTCCTTTCCCCATTCTTGTCGAGAAATAGGAAAGTTACTCACATAAAAAAATGACAATGGGCCTGAATGAAAATCAATTACAATTCCAAAGATGAAAGAGAACTGCGATATAATCACATGTAATGCTGCTGCTGTAAGGTAAGCATTCATGAGACTCTCTGAGACATATGTTGTAACAAATCCCAAGCCAAATATGGCCAAAAGTATCTGGAAAGAACAAAAGAGATGGTTAAAATAGAAGAAAATGGGATTTTAAGGAAAACATAAACCTCAATTTGCTGCAATAGCTGGCTTATTTCTCCACAGTTTGCTATTATACACCTGAAATTTTTTAAAAAACTATACTATTTTTTTAAAAACCCAAGTGAATATTTTGCAAGGACAGAAGTATTGTCAAATATCTCTGTCCTTGAAGGTATTTCTAGCAGGACTACCAGATTTTGTAACAGCTTTGTTCCCGATGATATCTGTGACATTCCCTATGACAGTGATGGCGAATCTTACAGCATGCCAAAATTGGAAAGTTCTGGTTGGCCCTTTCGGGCCATTTTTTACCCTTCCCAGCCTCAGAGGCTTTCCTGAAGTCTGGGGAGTGCAAACAACGGCCCCAATGGGCCAACCGGAAGTTTGGGAACGAACTTCTAAACTAGACTATGTTCTTTCTCTGTGTCATATAATATATGTGGGTATATATGCATAATTTTATTCATTCATTCATTCATTCATTCATTCATTCATTCATTCATTCATTCATTCTGTCATGTTTATGTAGTGTATACTGGAGGTGGTGACCCTTTGAGAGCTGTATGCAACAAAACCTCAGTTTAATGTATGCTGATTAGGACATTTACATTTACATTCGAAGTGACAATAAAGTTAGTCTAAGTCAAAGTTTAAGTCATTTTACTTTACCTTACTTGACTCTGAATCTATTTTCCTTCATTAGAAAATCATCTTTTTTTCTAAAACAAATGTAGAAAAATATCCTTGGCTAATAATAATTCAGCCTTCTTTCCTTCCCCTGGAGTTTCCAGATTGGAAGGGGCCTTTTAGACAAGCAACAAATGGATGGGGCAGAGGTGGACTAGATGACCTACAAGGTCCCTTCCAACTCTGCTAATCTGTTACATCATCTACTTTATAACTCCAAATTAGTCAATGTTCTGAGATAAACTGATGTCAGGGGCCAGTAGCTCTTCTTGGCCCTCAATACCAAAAACATAGAAACAAAATTGGTGAAATTTCATCAGAGAACAATTATCTTGGGTGAAATCTTATGAGTTTTCATTTGAAATAATTGAAACCTTGCATAATTCTGGTGAACTCTTGAATGTTTTCAATGTCCTCAGGCAAATATCAGCAGATTTTAGGAATCTTCTGAATTTCAGCTATTATGCAAGGTGAAATGTTTCTGGTTATCAGACAGTAATTCCTAAGTTTGTTCTCTCCTCTTTACATTCCTTAAGATCTAATTTTCTTTCCATGTTATTCTTAACCCTACTATAAAATACAGTGGACAAAGAATAAAAAATAAATTATATTTTAAAGGCAATAGAAAGATTGTATAAAGGCAAATAATTTGTTTATTTTTTTCAGTACATCAGAGCCAAAAATATAATTGTCAGCCTCTACTTTGCTTGCTTCCTATCGGCTGCCATAGAAACAGGGAGGGTGGGGGCTGGTGGTATTTGGGGGGGAATTGCTGGTGCTGGAGGAGTTATCATGAAGGGAGTTTTGTTCTCACCATCTTCTGCGCATGCTGATGGCTCGTGTTTAGGCTTGGTCAAGGTTAACCGTCTCTGAATATCCAGCTGAATGAGGCCACTTGAAGATGCACCCCACATGACACCTTTGGGAGTTGCAGATTGAACATTGGGTTGGGGTACCTGGGCAGAGGGTCCTGGGTAAACCTTTGATATGTACATGTTCACGCCTTTTTGCCTCAGATTTTGTTTTTCTTTAGCTGCTTTCATTTCATGTCTAGTAAAAGTACCTTTATCTCTACTCAAATAGAGTTGGGGCTTTTCTTTCTTGGATACTGTATGAGGCATGCCTGACATTAACTTAAAAATATTGGTGTAGAATTAGTATATAGAATTTTTATGCATCAGAAAAAGAATAATGGAGTCTAAAAATATTGAGATTTTAGCAAGTCAGTTGTGGACGCCATACACTCAGAAGGAAAGTCTACTCAGCTAAGATTTAACTTTCATTTAACTTTTGTGTTTAAATATATGTCATATTACATGTTACTGAATTTTTATTCTGTCTTTGAAAATACCAAGAGTTTCCACTCTCTATGAGGTGAGACGGAGGGAACTTAAAAAGTCGGCATTCTCTACCAGAGCTCCTATCCATATAGAATCAGTTACTCTCAGAAATAAGATGCAATGCTATTTATTGCTATTATTGACACACATACACACACAGTAGTGTTAACTTAACTGAAGTGACATTAAAGCACTTACAATAAATAAATAAAAACATGGGTAAGAAAAAGAAATGATAATTCAAATGTGTTTCCTACCTGAATAATCCCAACTAAAAATGTAGTAGATGCAGTGTGAGTTACTGCTTCCATATAATTCCGCATAAAATTTTCATCAGAAACATTGGCCAAGGTGCCATTAATTGGTAACTGTATACTAAAATTAAGACTATTCTGAAAATTTGCTGCCATTGCATTCAGAATGCTGAAAGAACCTGTTGCCAAAAAGCAGAAATTCAAGATAAAAGCCAAAGCCAATATAAATTCCAGTACCATATTAATTGTAACAAGGTAATTCTTACCATTTCTCTAAAGAGCTTAAAGTATAAAATGCTTTCAGAATACCAGTTTGGTCTGGTGGTTAAGGCACCAAGGTAGAAACCAGAAGACTGTGATTTCTAGAGCCACCTTATGCATGAAAGCTGGCTGAGTAACTTTGATGCAGTCACTTTCTCTCAGCTCAACTCATCTCACAGGGTTGTTGGGGCAAAATAGAAGAGGAAAGTACTATTGATTATGTTCATTGCCTTAAATAATTTATCTATGTATATATAAATGGCTGTGTGTGTGTGTGTGTGTGTGTGTGTGTGTGTGTGTGTGTGTGTGTGTGTGTGTGTTCCAGCATAACTCTGGAACACCTTGAGCAATTTCAACCAAACTTGGTACACAGATGACTTACTCTCTGGAAACAGTGGGGGTAAGATACCCCTAAAACCCCTCAGGGTGTG